TATATATAATCTCGACATACTATACTATGACTTTAATTACTTATGACATAATATTATGACTTTTTAAATGACTTTTCTTGACGTACCATACTATGACTTTTTTCAGGAAACTATAATAGGACTTTATTTACATGCTTTAGTATGACTTTCATAACTCACTATAATTCCATGACGGACTATTCCAACACTCTTTTAAATATGAAAGCATATGTATGTGTTTCTGTGCATGTCTGAATGTTCTTTATAAACGTGCGTTCTTACATACTTACTATTGCACCAGATTCTGCATTCGTAAAAAGATGTCACACAAACGAGTACATCAGTGTACATTATTATTGTACGTTCCATTCTTAAAATAGAAGCTTTATTAGTCTAACTATCATGAGACAGTTTCCAGTTCATTCAGAGAAGAGTGAGACAAAAACACTTCTGTCACACATGTAGTGAAAGACAATGGAATCTGTAATTGAACGCTAATCGGGCTACGTAACGTCGCCCGTCAAATTTGCACAAAGTCATAATGATGCACAAAGTGATAATACCAAATAATTTGACGTTTCAGTCGACATTTAGATGTAATTTATTCGTAAACATCGACTAAATGTGTCGTATTGAAAAGATCTATAAATAACATGTTATCGTGTGACATATTTCTATCACACAGGTTTGTTAGCATCACGTCCCTAATGTCTTGTTTTATCTGTAAACCTCAAAGTCTGTTTGTCAAGTCTCCTCCTCCTTTAGCTTGAAGGCAAAGCTTAAAGGCGCAGTCCGCTGCTGTGCTCTTTCTCTGCAGAGTATTCACACACATCATGTAAAGCAGGAGGAGTCCAGAGCAGCTACAGGTCACCTGACCCTCTGGATTCATCAGGTGACAGAAGCCGCCGTGCGGGCATGTTGTTCCTTCCACCCTGGACGCTGACGGGAGCGATGAGGAGCTCGAATCTCTCACAACTCCTCCAGACCAGAGTCAAAGTTCTGACTTTCTTTTCCATCGTCTCCACCAGGTGACAACGTCTCCTCAAAGGAAAGTCATCTGGAGCTGCTGCCCGGCTGCAAGCCTGAAGCTGAAGCAAATGAAGACACAGAAACAATCGGAATATAAATTCTGTTTAGCTAATATTATGAAAATATTATGAAGCTATGACAGAAAGTATGGATGACTTTTTCCATTTGATTTTCCCGATCAAAAATTCACAGTACAGTATGTCGAAAAAGTCAAAGTATAATATGTTTGTTATGAATGTGTTTTTGTGTGTACTTGTACCTGTCAAGTCTCTGAAGCGTGTCTTGGCCTCGGCTCTCTCCTCTGAATCAAAGTACCAGACTGTGATGGCGAACCTGAAACAAAGAGACAACACTGATGTTTCTACAGCCGTGAGTTGTGTTGTTAGGTTGTGTGGGATTGATTAGCTCGGCTCTTCTAACGCTCACTAAAGGTCTGATTGTACTTCAATTCAGACTTTCCTTTTGTTTTAGTTTTTTATCCACAGTGTTGGTAAAGGAAATAAACACTCCAGCCTTTGAAAATATTCTTTTTTGAATAAAGTTTGAGTTGAACTACTTACTAATAATCATCATATTAGCTTCAATACAAGATGAATGTTTGTTTACAGGCTTTAGGTGTTAAAAAGGTGTTTGTGTTATTACACATTCATACCAGCAGGTGGTGCCAATCATCTGTGTTTATGTCCTCATAATGAAAATAAACTCACATTCTTAACTGAAAATTACTAAAATGAAATCATTAATTTTAGTCAATTTACTTTTCACTGCAGAGGCTACGTAATTATTACTACAGTATTTTATGTTCTAAAATCATAATAAAACATGCAAACTTCTGGTCCTGTTGTGTTTACAAAGATCACAGAATAAAACTTCCAAAAGTATCAGAAAACATCAAGTACTCAACTGAAGTAGTTGTCTACTGTAAGTCCCTTTTTAATAAATCAATCTAACACAATGAGGACAGCAGCTTCCTCTCTGTGTGATTCATGTTTCTGAAGTTCTGTTATTTTCCTCTCGTGTTGGCAGAATATTTGTACCTTCTAGTCTCTACATTTATCTGACAGTTGGAATTAAGTCCATCAAACATAGAATGAACTCCTGAAATCGTGTTTATCGGTACCGTTACAATTATCAAATCACTCCTTTGAAAGTTTTGAAAGCATTTTTATATTGATTTTATTTCTACACTGACATTGTTTCTTTGATTTTAATAAAAACGAGAATTCTTTTTCATAAGTGTGAATTGTTAAGACATATTTGACTATTTATTAAATGCTGTTTTGAGGTTCTGCTAATTTACTTTTGTTTTAGTTTTACTTTTGTACTTTTCCTCCACCGTATTGAAAAACTACAATGTACTTACTCCTGAATTAAGATGTATTGTTAGCGTGTATGTCACTTTAAAGTACATAAAATAACTCGTGTTTTGACTGCATTTTTATATACATACATATTACACTATATTATTTCTTTGATTTAAATAAAGAATGGAATTCTCTTTTTTCAAAAGTGAAATATTGTTAAGACTTATTTTATATTAATTACCGTCTTATTATATGCAGAGGAGAGGTAAAGGTGAAACAGGTGACTGATTTGTTGGTTGGTTGACTGACTGATTGGTCGGTTGGTTGACTTATTGGTTGGTTGATTGATTGGTTGAATGACTGATTGGTCGGTTGGTTGACTGATTGATTGGTTGAATGACTGGTTGATTGGTTGGTTGACTGATTGGTTGGCTGACTAGTTGGTTGGTTGACTGGCTGATTGGTTGGTTGACTTATTGGTTGGTTGATTGATTGGTTGAATGACTGATTGGTCGGTTGGTTGACTGATTGATTGGTTGAATGACTGGTTGATTGGTTGGTTGACTGATTGGTTGAATGACTGGTTGGTCGGTTGGTTGACTGATTGGTTGAATGACTGGTTGGTCGGTTGGTTGACTGATTGGTTGAAGGACTGGTTGATTGGTTGGTTGACTGATTGGTTGACTGACTAGTTGGTTGGTTGACTGGTTGGTTGGTTGGTTGGTTGACTGACTGGTTGGTTGACTAACTGATTGGTTGGTTGGTTGGTCACCTGGTGGCGTAGGCGGGCTGAACCTCATGTGGGTTCCTGCGGTCAGACCAGAAGAAGAGCAGCCGGTCAAACAGCGGATTGATGTCGGCCACGTAGGATTTCCCCTCCGGAAAGATCCTGAGGACGCCGCCATGCTCCTGATCGTCGACAACAACAACAACAACAACAACAACAACAACAACAACAAGACGACCACAAACGAGCAGGAGAGCAGATTAGTGTCATTGTTAAAATGATTATTAAACTATGAATTAAAGATGATCCTATCGAATATGATACACTGCTGTAGATTAAACGAGCCAACGGGATATAAAGGAGTTACAATGTAACATTTTACTGATCAATCAATACTTTTACTTTAACTACATTTAACTGATAATACTTTTACTCGTGGTGGAGTATTTTCAGCATAGTATTAGTACTTTTACTGCAGTTAAGGATGTGAGTACTTCCTATAATGAGTGTTTTTTCACAGCGACATCCTCACAATGTGTTTTAAGAAGAGATCAGTCATAAAGTGTTTCCTCGTCAGACAGGAAGTCTCACAACAGATTCAATTCTCTGATCTCCTTCAATAACAACTACCACTCGTAAAGAGGTCAGAGGTCAAACATCCAGCGTTAAGCTGAGGTCCCTGAACGCACCTCAGCGCTCCAGTTCTTGTTGAGGTAGTAGATGCAGGTGATGCGGCGTCCGTCGCAGTTCGGGTTGTCCACGTGTTTGACGTAACCCGCCCCGTTACCTGGGTAACACGCCACCATAGCCTGAGGACACAAACACACAGAAACATCCGTTTGATTATACGTTAATCTTTGATTGAATATCTCCATCAAACATTTAGATAAATATAATAATAATAATAAATAAATAAATATATCATAACATCGACTTGTTTCACATGTCCAGTTTCATAGAAGTTGTCCTCATTAGTCACTTGACACAAAACAAAACCAGGTGACCCGTTAAAGTCTCAGAGAACAGTTTAACCCTCTGAACCCCAAAACCTGCAGACACCATGTTTTCTTTAAACAATCGCATTACATCGCTGTAAAAAACTGTCATTATCATCATATGTTCATCTTTCCGACGGCCCTTGAAGACATCATGTGAGACGAACGCTTCCATCACAAAACGCAACCAAAACAAAGCTTAAAATTATGATATTTTATTCTACATGTTCTCATTAAAGATCGCTCCACGAATAAACCGTTTACTTTAATCAGAATCTGTGAAAAACATTACATTGTGAGCTCCTCAGTGAAACTATGAAGTCAGAATAACACGTCAGCTCCAGTCCCTCCTGCAGCGCTGCCGCCTTTTGACCTGAGCAGGAAGTGGAAGCTGATTGGCTGAGAGCAGCAGACATCAGACGTGAGGAACAAAGGCTCATACTGAGGCAACTCCAGGTCGTCTCACTTCATGTCGTTCGACATCTGAACCTTTAAGAGGAATGTAAGTTCCTCATAACTTAAGATATGTGTTATATATGTGTATAGATGAATATGTGTGTGTGTATATATATATATATATATATATATATACACACACACGTCTGCACCTCATTAATGTGCCAACACAGTTATTTATTCAGCTCATTAGAGAGACAACATATTTAAGAGTTAAGTTCAGTCAGCTGCACCACCTCCCCCCTCCTCTCTCGGGCTCTTATTGGGAAAAACCTCTTATTGTGGAAAAACCTCTTATTGTGGAAAAACCTCTTATTGTGACACACGAGCGTGCGAGGACCTCAATGCCTCCTACGTGCTCCATAAAGTCTCTCATCCCGTTCCCTTTCCTTTTCCCTACTGGCATCAACACATTACAGAAGGTCACAGTGTAGATGAACCCTCGGTAAAACACACGGGTCCCTGAACGCACCATCGACAACAACAACAACACCTTCAGTAACCCTAACCGGACTGACGTCAGCCACAACCTCCTGACGTCTTCACACACATAGCATGCAACCACATGACGACAAACCCTCAGCGCTGATAAAGAAACGTCTGACCAGCAACCACAAATCACCTCAGTGTGTTTACACGCTGCCACCGAGGCACGAACACACACACAAACACACACACACACACACACACACCCATCATCATCATCATCATCATGCAACTGAGCTGCTATGGAGCGAAAATATGTGGAAGAAACACAGGAGGAAGTGATACACTGATAAAAACAAAAACAAAACGCCTCCGAGAGCTTCAACTTTACCTTATCCTCCTAGTAGAGAGGGGGGGGGAGGGAGGGAGGGAGGATGAAGGAGGGAGTGTAAACAGTGGTTTGGCAGGCTTCCAGCCTGCTGCAGGTTTTAATGACGGAGCGTACGTGAGGCACGTGAGGCACGTGAGGCTGCAGTCTGAGACTCTCACACTCAACACAAGATAAAACTGGATTTAAAGGCCGATGTTGATACAAATATGTGAGTTTCTAGAACATGTGGTTGTGATTTTAATCCCAGAATTATTTTAAAAAGAGTCTCAGAGACGTGACAAAAACACCAAAACACAGATTTCACCTGAAGGCCACACGACAAAATAAATGTGTTGCTGAGATTTAAACTTTATATTTATCAAAAGTTTAGTTCTGTAAGAAGAGAAAAACTTCTCATACCTGTGTGTGTGTGTGTGTATACGTGTGTGTGTGTGTGTTTGTGTGTATTCCTGTTGTAACTTGGTTGACCTGTTTTCTTAAGAAATTAAATCTGATAACAAACACTTGTGAAAAGAGCTCACTGTACACATGAAGACGAGGTGTGTGTGTGTGTGTGTGTGTGTGAGTGTGTGTGAGGGAGTGACTGATTAAGCAGCTGAATGTGTACGTGAGAATGTTCGCTGCTTCATCTGCAGAGGTGGAAGAAGTACTCAGATCCTTTACTGCAGTAGAAGTACTAATAAGTACACAGTGTAAATAAAATTTTAACGTTAACCATCAGAGTGTAAATAAAGTTTTAACGTTAACCATCAGAGTGTAAATAAAGTTTTAACGTTAACCATCAGAGTGTAAATAAAGTTTTACTRACTCAGYARAACATGTGTTTCTAGTCTCTGATCTCTGATAATGTTTCATTGTAAACAACCAATCAGTGTTTAAACCAACAGGAGGAGAGCTAGTAACGTTAGCAGCACCGCTAACGGCTAACCAACAGAGGTTCACTTCAGTTACATTATGATGCCTTCAGGCTCTGCTCAGTGAACATGAGTACTGGCTGAAGGTACATTATAACGTTATCATAATGTGTTCATGCGTAATCTGTAAAATGTAGTTTTGGTGATAAACTTGAATAAATCCAGTAGTTTGAAGGAGAAGTTTTCACATGAATATAAAATATATATTAGAGATGAATTATGAGCTGTTTAATTTCCTAACACGAGCTCTAAGCACATTATTATACATCATTATAAACAGTGGTAGGCCGTCAGGGCCAGCTAAGTCTTCTCCGCTGGCCTAAACAGAATACATCTCATCTTTAAGAGTTTTATAACAACATAAAGAACGAGCCACAATAAGTAAAAACACCTCGAGGAGTTAAATGTAACAAATCTATAAATAATACGTGAAAATAAATTCATTTAAAAAAAGCAATTTTTTACACAGAATTTGTTGTGTTTTTTTATTCCTTTATGAATATATTTAAGAATATATAATACAGTTGTGTGAAAAAGTGTTTGCCCCCTTCCTGATTTCTTATCTTTTTGCATGTTTGTCACACTTAATGTTTCAGATCATCAAACAAATTTAAATATTAGACAAAGATAACACAAGTAAACACAAACTGCAGTTTTTAAATGAAGGTTTTTATTATTAAGGGGGAAAAAAATCCAAACCTACATGGCCCTGTGTGAAAAAGTGATTGCCCCCGCTGTTAAAACATAAATTAACTGTGGTTTATCACATCTTTGGAAAGCTGAGTTCAATTTCTCTAGCCACACCCAGGCCTGATTACTGCCACACCTGTTCTCAATCAAGAAATCACTTAAATAGGACCTGCCTGACAAAGTGAGGTAGACCAAAAGATCCTCAAAAGCTAGACATCATGCTGCGATCCAAAGAAATTCAGGAACAAATGAGAAACAAAGTAATTGAGATCTATCAGTCTGGAGAAGGTTACAAAGCCATTTCTAAAGCTTTGGGACTCCAGCGAACCACAGTGAGAGCCATTATCCACAAATGGCGAAAAAAATGGAACAGTGGTGAACCTTCCCAGGAGTGGCCGGCCGACCAAAATTACCCCAAGAGCGCAGCAACGACTCATCCAAGAGGTCACAAAAGACCCCAGAACAACATCCAAAGAACTGCAGGCCTCACTTGCCTCAAATGAGGCATTATGTAATGGTGACTTTTGGTGAATTTAGTAGAAATCTACTAAACAAAGTAGTAAAATAAATTATTTCTTTCCTCTAGTCTGAAATAAGACGAGTTATTGAAGAAAAGATAGATCAAAATGTTGTGTCTCCACTTCATAATAAACTAAATAAACCTATGAAATATGTTTACTAATAACTTAAAAACACATGTTGCTGAGTGGATCCAATCACAGACTCAAGCTGCAGAAAAACCTTCATCATATATTAATAATTCTGTGTCAAGTAATTCTGTCTTTATTTACTCTGATAATCATCTAATATTTTTTATTAATTTAGAGAGTCTAATATCTGTTGATTATTATATTTATTTTATATTATTTATTATTATATTATTATTATTATTGTATTTATTATTATATTATTATTATATTTATTATAAATAATATAAAATAAATATATAATAAACTAAATTGAATAATACAAATAAACTAAATATATATAAAATAGCATTTATATTATTATAATACAATATTAATACATATTTGGTGCATTGAATATGTTTAATAAACTATGTCTGGTCTAATATAAATCTCTCACCTTCGACCTCTCGCGGATCTTCTTGCTCCCGAGCCGGCTCGCGCACACGCCGATGATGTGATCGATGACGTTGAGCAGGAAGCTGATCGCCTCGCAGCCTCGGTCCTCGGACCCGCTCACCCACGCGATCTGGTCCCCGCGGATGCTCCTCGACCGGTGAACGCCCCCCGGCACGGAGCCCGCCAGTCGGCCGTCCTGCAGCGCTCCGGACCGGTGCATCTCCATCACCTGCTCCAGGACCAAGTCTCCGGCCGGTTCCCCGAGGAGCCCGTCCAAGTAGCAGAATCCATGGACCAGCAGAGCCGGGACGACCCGCTCCAGAGCCAGACGCTCCAGCTCCAGGTCCCATACGTGCTCGATAAAAGGCATTTTATTTACAACAGACTGTCAAAGTACTACAGAGCGAAAATACGACGAGTTTATCTGACAAGAACTCTGAGATGAAGTACTTTTACTTTACTACTGAGAGGTTTGATAGACAGATGAAATCAAACAGTAAAACACAGAAGAAGAAGAAGAAGAAGAAGAAGAAGGTTTTGACTAAATGCCTCCAGAGCGCCTGAACTCTTGTTATGAACAGCAGCGCTGTCAAGTCAGCACGTGTGGTATTACATAACTTCCGGTTACGAGTTTCAGAATAAAAGCCGTATTATTATTATTTGCTACAGTCAAATAACCGATTATCTGATGGAGATAAATTCAGCTCCCTCTTCACCAAGACGGTCCGGTGCAGCGCCTGCTTCACTGCTGCAGCCGCACCGATCCGCCTGTCGATCTCCCGCTCCATCTTACCCTCACTCGTGAACAAGACCCCGAGATACTTGAACTCCTTCGCTTGAGGTAGGCACTCCGTCCCCACCTGGAGGGAGCAATCCACCGGTTTCCGGCAGAGCACCATGGCCTCAGATTTGGAGGTGCTAACTCTCATCCCCGCCGCTTCACACTCGGCTGCAAACCGCCCCAGTGAATGCTGGAGGTCACGATCCGAGGAGGCCAACAGGACCACATCATCTGCAAACAGCAGAGAGGCGATCCCGAGACCCCCGAACCTGACGTTCTCCACCCCCAAGCTGTGGACACAGCTCCTACTGCAGTCGTACAGAGACCGGATCGCCCGTTGTAACGGGTCCGGCACCCCATACTCCCGCAGCACCCCCCACAAGAACCCCCGAGGGACCCGGTTGAAAGCCTTCTCCAAGTCCACAAAGCACATGTAGACTGGTTGGGCAAACTCCCAGAACCCCTCCAGTAGTCTTGCGAGGGTAAAGAGCTGGTCCACTGTTCCACGGCCGGGACGGAATCCGCATTGCTCCTCTTGAATCTGAGGTTCGACAAATAAATAATGGAGGTAATTTATTAATGATTCTGCTTTTCTCTGCTTTTATTCAACTTTAAACTGGATATCTGGGTTTTGGACTGAATAAGGAAGAATACTTAATATAGATATGTTATTATTGGTCAGTATTTTATTACAGAAAACTCGAGTTTTTCCTTTTTAAAAGTATTATTATAATGTATTTGGTTGTCAATTTACCTAATTTATATTAATGCTATAAGGACTTAATTTAGCTGATTTTGATTTTTAGGCTTTGAGAAATATAAAAGCATTTCTCACTATTTGCTGACATTTTATAGACTAAACTAATTCATTGTTTTTACACAATAATAATTAAAATATGAATTGATTAATATAAGTGTTAGTTGGCTCTTTATTAGACATCTACTCCATTAATAAAACCAAACGAAGATACAATCCAACTTAATATGCATCAGTGACATGACATTTTATTTTGAAGGCTTCCTGTTAGACTTCCGGTGATTTGCTGCTGAACAGACCAGATGAGAGAAGTGAGACGTGCTGGATGTGACTATAAGACGAGGAGGCGGGGCTACAACACACTTCTATTTTAAGACATAAGACATATTGTTTATAATCATGACAAACATTTTAACTTGATTTCTGGGGAAAGATTGTGAAAATTTAGAAAACACAGCATTAAACTGCTTCCAGCTTAAAGTATTTATTAAAAACATTACTCATCAATAAGTTAAATATACAGTTTGTTTTATTTATTGTTAAACTGTAAGTACAGTACTCTGCTACGTTCCCGCGCACTGGGCATGCCCGCCGCCATTGAGGACTCCACGAGCCGCATGTAGCCCTCGCGCTCCCTCCCTCCGGTCAGCGAGGAAGTGAACAGTGAACGTGTAACAGACCATGCGCCAGTGAGAGACTGAGATCAGCTGGGCAGACAGCCAGCATAATAATATGTACAAAATGTAAAGAAAAAAATATATATATTAAAATAATTATAATAATATAAAATATATATAAAAATATAAAGAAAAAAAAATATATATATGTTAAAATAATAATAATACAAAAATATATTATATATATATATATTAAAATTAAAATTAAATACATAAAAATAATACAAATAAATAATATACTGTATCTGGAATACTTTATTTGGAAGCTGTTAAATATATTTAAAAAAACATTATTATTGCATGTATGATTGTAATTTTTGTGATAACAAGCATAATTGAAAGGAAAGGGCACCATTTTATTTATTGTTTTCACAATGATTCATGACACGATAGAATAAATATATCCAGGATGATGTTTTCTGGCTCTTGGGAGAAAATAAGATGTCTTATTTCTCTGTTTTATTGAAACCAAAAATATTGATAGACACCTAAATAATTTGGGATTTTTAGACTGCAAAGTCATGAAACAGTCGTCTTCTTCTGTATCATCTGACTAGAACATACTTGTTAAGGAACACACATCTATCTATCTATATATATATATTTATATACACTTCTAAATACAGTATATATATACTGTATGTGTATATAAATATATAATGATACATCCGCTCTCCTCTGTGATTGGCCAGGTGAACAATACAAAGTACACAACCAAGTTACAACCAACATTTTTGCAAATTAATTTATCGAAGAAAAAAGAAATGTCTCTCTGCAAAGCCACCATCAACAACAACCAGAGAGCAGAAGAAGAAGCTCAGAGTCTCAACAAGTTTGAACGTCATCAGGTTCATAATTAAAGACGAGAGAGAGTCATGATAACCAGAGACTACAACAGTGTTCAACAGCCAAATGAAAGAATCCGTCTGTACGTTCGGTGTGTTTCTGTCCCTCACATGACGGCGGTTCAAACTCCAGTCAGCAGCTCTCTGAGCGTACGTGAGGAGAGCTCCATCGTCTGAGTTAACCAGTAACCACAACTCCTGTTTCCTCTCTGATCCGCTGCCAGAAGAGAAGAAGCTTTCCTCTGAAGTGAGACGCTGTAATCACAGAAACAGACTTTAGAGCGACGTGATCGGAGATGATAGTCGGGAGACGTTCATGTGTGACGCCCATCACACCACCAGTCATTCATTTTGCCTGCAGAATTAACAAAAACCTCTGAAGCAGCATTTACAGCAGCATGATGTTCAGCCTGGTTTATTTTAAGTTCATGCATACAGAGAGCGGCCAGAATAACATCAGAAATCTACTGTCACAAAAATATATGTGTGAAGCTTATAAAGTGTTAAAACAGAGGATTAGCTCCACCCAGGTCCAACCAGGCGGTAACCTCCGGTTCTTTAAAGTGAAGCTAAAGCTTCATGTATTAAAGCTGCATTCTCTCTAGTGTCCACCAGGGGGCGACTCCTCTGGTTGTATAGAAGTCTATGAGAAAATGACTCTACTTCTCTCTTGATTTATTACCTCAGTAAACATTGTAAACATGAGTTTATGGTCTCAATCTCTAGTTTCAAGTCTTCTTCAATACAGCATGATGTTCATTTAGTACATTATGGTCCATTTAGAGTCAAACAGACCATAAAGCAGGGGATGCTTTAGGGCGGGGCGACACAGTGATTGACAGGTCTCTACCAGAGACGTATACGGCGTCTCTACGTCACTCCTCCTCAGTCCAGATATGGTCACTTCCTGTTCACTGATTGCAAAGAAACAAGATGGCGACGACAAAATCGCCGAACTCTATACTTCAAAACATCCACAAACCAATGACGTCATGATGACTATGTCCACTTCTTATACTTCGTCAATGATTATATTTTCATTCACATATAGAACTGTGTTTTGATAACATTTGCATATTATTCAGCCTACATGCTACTAGAGCTGCTTAACTTAGTGGACTACGACTTATTTACACGATTAATCGTTTATGCAAATTTTTAATGACTTATTTCAAGAAATTTCTAAACATCTTTATTAAACACCAGTGATGCTCCTGCGTGATTCATTGAGGAGAAACTGAACTAATCAATAAGTCAACAAAATTGTACTAAAATAATTTCTAGACAAGTGAAGTCATCAGAATCAGTAAACATAGTAAGAGAAAAGAAGTCAAGAATAATATGAAATAGAAACATATGTGAAATATATCATATATACTCGTTCTACAGCATAGCTAGGTCCATAAGCCAATAGGAGAGGACCTTATGGTGGTCTGACCAATAGGAGCGCGGGCCACGAGCTGACTAGCCAATAGGATTCCGCTAAAGAAAAGCGGTGGGTAATGTGAGTGGAAACAGTTGTTTACAGGCTTTTCTATTGTGTTTTAAGTTTTCTGTGGGACAAACTGAATTAAACTCAAAGTACGAACCCGTCTGAAGGCAGGAAGAACGAACCCACGTCGATGTCAGTGTTTAAAGGAACAAACGGCCACTTACTCCAACAAAAGGCCACAGAAATGAACAGCCAAAACAAACCGTGTAAATCCAAAATGGCGTGTAATTTCTTCTTCGCTCTGCTTCGTGTAGTTCAGATGAGCAGCAGTTCACTCGGTGCTGCCTCTGGTGGCCACGGAGGTGTAACTGCAGCAGCAAGCTGCGGTGGAATGGAACAAAGTACATTTACTTTAGTACAATTTTGAGGTACTTGCCCTTTACATAAGTATTTCTATGTTATGCTACTTTATATATCTACTCCACTACAATGGAAAAATATTGTACTATTTACTTCACTGTTACACAAATAAGATGTCCTGACGTGTTTATCAAAGTGTTACTTACTGCTTTTTTCATGTTGGAATAAAGGTTAAATATTTAACTGCAAAGTAGTAATACATGTTTGATACCTTAATGTTTTTGCATTAAATCATTCTGGGATGTTTGCTGAAATTGATTGATGTGGCACAGCCCTACCGTGAACATTTTCCACCAGCCGCCACTGCTTTTACAACTGAATGTATATGATATATATTAAAGAAATGTATATAAAAAAATATATTTATAAAAAAGAAAATATATTAAAAAAATATATTTAAAAAAAATATGTATATATAAAATATATATAGGAAACAGGTGGGAAAACATGATTCATCCAGAAGTCAGAGGTAAAACAAACGCTTTAGTGAAATATCCCTTTAATGATTCCAGTCACAGGACAGTGTTTAGCATCAGTAGTTCACAAAAACATTTCATCCTATACGCTAACAAATCTTACAAGAACTTTACAGAAATGTATACAAGATTATATACACAAAAGTGAGAAAAACACATTTTTTGGAGGGAAAAAAAAAAGAATCATAATTTTCCTAAAAGGATACTGTCATAAAATAGGATTACACTAAAATGGAACCGTTATCATTTTTGTACAAAGAGGGAACTGTGTGTGCGTGTGTGTGTGTGGCGCTTTAAATAAAAGCCAGAATTTAAAAAAAGGACAATTGTGTCATTTTCAACCTCACTGATTCCTAAAGGAGCTTTTCTGCTCTCTGGAATAAGATATCACTTTTCTCCAGGACCTGAGAACTATATCTCCACGAGCTCTAACAGAGAGATCCACGAGTACAGGAAGCCACAGGTGTACACACAGGAAGCCACAGGGACACACAGGAAGCCACAGGTAACCAGGTACAATGTCCAAACGTCAACCAGTCATTAGATTCTCTGACTAAATACAATCATTCACAGGTCAAACGTCTAAATAAAACAGAAGTCAGCTGATGCATGTTGAGAGGAAGTGCTGCATGATGGGAGCGTAGCTTACAATAAATAGGAGACAGATCTCAGGTGTGATTGGTCACCTTCCATCCTTCCAGGTTGAAGCTATGACCTCTTTTCTTTGTCTCACGGGGGAACAAATGACGGTGGAGCTTGAAAAAGGCTGAAGTTGTTCCTTTAAAACCGTCTCTGACTAAATCAGACGTGGCTCATAAAATGGAGTAAAAGGTGAAATGGTGTGTTTGTCCATCAGCCGCCAGTGTTTTCACGTCTTAATGCAATAAAAACACTAAAGTCTGATCGCTCCACACAACCAGACATCCGTAGGATTACACAGTCTCAAAAACAGTGAAGTGCGCTCGCTTTAAAAAAAGATAAAAGCACCAAGCACAACTTCTTCTAAGGCTCCGCCTCCAACGCTGTCCACAAAAAAAATCCAAAATATTTCATGAAGAAGAAACAGTCTCGGGGGAAGACAATCGTCCAACGTGACCTCAGCACGATGTCCAGAGCATTGACCTTTGACATTGAATCAGATTTGGAAATAAAAGAACGAGAGAAGCTCCGCCTCCACGTGGTCGGAGACAATCCACCTCAGAGACAAGGACACAAGGAGACGGACGGACTCGTCGGGGTCATTGGACGACCTCGAAGTAGTGCAGGATGGCCATGATGTGCTGCGGCATGAAGACGTAGCCGGTGTAGACGGCCATGCCGGCCACGGAGATCAACAGGGAGTCTGAGGAGGAGGAGTTAAGGAGGAACTGAAGAAGCAGAACAAGACCTTGGATAGATCTGTTAATAGATCCGTTAATAGAACCCTTAATAGAACCGTTAATCTGTCATAATCTGTTACCAGTCTGTTCAGTCTGAAATGTAGTTTCCTTCATCAAACACTGAATGTTGGTGGTTGGTTGTGTTTCACTTCCAGTGAAAGCTGTTCACTTCCAGTGAAAGCTGTTCACTTCCAGTGAAAGCTGTTCACTTCCAGTGAAAGCTGTTCACTTCCAGTGAAAGCTGTTCTGTGGATTTTCAGGAGTGAGCAGGACATTCAGTGTGTTTATCTGTACTCAGGTGATCCAACGTGTTCACACACCTTTTTAAAGCACCTCTTAAACAACACTGTACCTCCGCTAAGCCGAATGCTTTTGTTCTTACATGCATTTGTGCCCGATGTTGTCGTTTTTGCATCCATCTCTAGTGCTTTGGCTCTAGAAAAGCTCTTTACAAAATGAAGTATTATTACTATGATGTTGCAGATTTTCATAGAAAGAGGTTGAAGCATTTCTTCTGTTTTGTTATATAAAATGTAATATCTTCGGCCGTGATGTCGGTCGGACATAACGAGCAATTTAAAGACGTCACCTTGAACTCTGAAACATTTTCTGACACTTTATAGACCAAATATTTAGAAAAACAATCAATATCATTCAACAATAATAATCGTTAGTCGCAGCCCTAAACTGAAATAAACTGCTTACTTTAACTGTAACTGCAGGGACAAATATTCATGCTCATCAAATGATCTTTTTCAGTCTAATATCATAAAACATTGATTTCCATCATAATTAAGGAGATCCTAAATGATTATCAGCTTAATAAAACCAGTTTATCGTAGCTTTTAAGACGCTGTAATCAACAAGTGTTTGGTATATTTATACACCAGCCATGACTGATTACTGTAACAAGCAGAGGAACAATAACACAAACACACGTGACCCTCAGGGCGAAAGATATGAGGGTGACACCTCAAGAGGACGATACTAGAGGTTACACAACGTGTTTCACTCCCGCGGATCAAAGGGCAGCCGGCACTGTTAACACCTCATACATCTTAATTAAGAGCCCATTGACCAGACTTCCGAGGTTTCACCTTAATGCATAATCTCACACGAGCTTCTGTTATGTAAAATAAAGCTATATTATGGTGTAACCTGTGTGAGTCACCTGACAGGTGACCGGAAGCTCCCTACGATGTAGATTTAACGTGTTTTTACTGACCTGTGAATGTACGAGAGGAGTTCAACTAAGTGTGAAACACGTTCTACGTCATCAACGACTAGTCTTTAACTCGGCACTCAAACATGAAGGAATTGTTCTTACAAAAACGAAAGATTTAAGGCGACAAACTAGCGAGAAGTTCAGAGTCAAACACGCGAAACTCCCTTCAAAAGTATACGCGTTTAAGAGTTCTTCAGCTGTAAGTTAATAAAGTTACATCATGGAACAAAGGTTGAGAACGTTTCTAAAACTGTATAGTTCTGTTAATTCGGCATTATTCTTAAATAAAAAGGTAATTTTTGTTAGGCTTAGTCTGTATGCAAACACGTTAGCGACAGGAAACACTTGCTTCACATACATTCTTAGCAAAAACAAAGACCGACTGGTACATTTCACACGAGCCGAATTCACCACAAGCTCTTATACATTAATATACATTTATAAAATGTATTTTCGCCGACTTCCTAAAGCTAACAGTTAGCACATTAGCTCGTGTAAAGGATACTGAACACCGTCCTCTCCCACGGCTCCAGCATGTAGAGCGCGGTCACGAGCAGGTACTGGTAGTAAAACCATGACAACTGCTTCCAACAGCCTCCCAGTGACATGGTTACGACTTCACTAACTACTAAAACTCCACTTTTTATTCTACTCGCCTCTCTTCTTCTTCTCTCTCTATTCGTGGTAGGAGCGTTTCCTCCGGTGACGTATGACGTTGAATAATAAGGTGCTCGTTTGTTAGCCAATCACGTGAGACGTAGGGGTGTGACGCAGGCAAAAGGAGTTCCAGCATCCGGATTTCAAAATAAGATACAGATTCAGTGTGAGAATACTGACATGTTTATAAAACTAGTTCCTTTATGCTCATGTTTTGTCTCCTACTTAACACATTTAATACTTTCATAACTAACTGTCCCTTTTACAGACTGGCTTTTATGTGACGTCACTTTTCTGTTTTATATATTTCTTAGTTAATTATTATCGACCGTCTCACTGATCTCTCTGTTGTCTTGTTTTTGCTGCTTTGTCTGTCAAAGCACTTTGTAAACTCTGCTTTTAAAGGTGCTATTAATAAAATCATTATTAAATGAAATTACTTTGTTTGTTCAAAATAAAGCAAGTTTATTTACAACCGTAAAACATCTACTTCAGTTCACATCTTGTTCTTCAACAGCAACACAAATGTGTCATCAAGCTGGTGATACCTTCCTCTATTTAACATTCATAAACCGTATGGATAACACATTTAATGAGCAGTTCATAACACTATGATGTAGTTATACGCAGCGACAAAGAAGCTTTAAGAGTTTATTAAGGGATAGTTTGGATGTTTACGTGTATTTAGAACATTTACACTCCGTTATCGTACAGACTGATATATGTTCATACACACACTAAACATCACTTCTATCCTTTAATGTACAGCATATGTCAACAACTAGAACTTCTATGAAGATATATTTTCTATTATAAATGTTCTATTATAAATGTCAGTTTGTACAGCAGCTTCCACTTAATGAAGAGTTATTATAGTTGTTGACAAATACATTATTAAACATTTATATCAGCTTCCTCACAGTGTTATAAACCCTTTATTCACTATTTATATACCGATTATGAACGCTAAATAGGACGATTAAAAGGTAAAAGTGTCACAAAAATGTTTTAATGATCAGATATTAATATCAGCCTCGTGTGAGATGGTCTTCGGGTCATATTCCAGTTTAATGAGATATCTTAAGAAGATAAACAACGTTCTGCTGACAGTCAGCCTGGTTCTTCTTCTTCTTCTTCTTCAGTGGTGGAGAACCACAGATACACTTGCGTAGTAATAATAAAATGAAGAAGGAGTTGTGGTGTCTCAGCAGTGGCTGGCCAGGATGTTGAAGAAGTGGAAGACTTCGTCCTTATCGACCACGGCCACCTCTGTGGAGCACTCGCTGCACTGGACCGGGTGGTAAACCTCGTCGGCGTCCATCCCCGCCGGCGCCGGCACCTCGTCCTCCATCGCCGTCTCCGCCCTCTGTCCCTCCCCCCTCCTCCTCTTCCTCCTCTTCCTCGTCTGCTTCACCTCCGGCTGGGTTTTGTAGCGCAGCACCTCGTCCTTCTTCACCGTGCAGTTCATGACGAACATGGCTCGGTACTGCGTCCGGTACTTTTCATGCCTGATCAGAAACAAGAAGGTCAGCAATTCATCATCTTGAGTTTTTAACACGACTGCAGCTGGAGGATCAATTTAAACAACTTCTCCAACAATAAACGTTTGTTTCACGGCTGAAGATAATGAGTTTTATTATCTTTTGATTAATAATCATGTCTCAAATGGCTTTTATTTGTTCTTTCTGTGAAAACTACGTCTACTGTTTGTTGTCTGACTGAGTTTCCCCACTAAGGGTTAACTAAACTTTCTAATCTAATCTCTAAGTTTAGTTTAAAGACGCCTCAGTGTTGCTACAGACTCTGTCATGTCTTCACGTCTCACCTCTGACAGTCCAGGCAGAGTGTCGTCATGCAGGCGGGACAGTTGAGGACGGCGTCGCTGCTCATTAAAGCCGGAGTCTGACGAGGCCGAGAGCCTGCAGCCGGTCGCTTTCTGCCCTGATACCTGAAGAAGACGACACCAGGTAGAATGTAAACAACACACCTCTCGTCTGCTGGATGAACACGTGTTTAATAAAGCGTCTCACTGTCTCCTCCGGGCGTCCACCCAGGCCTGGTCCCTGTCGTCCTCCTCGGGGTCGTACAGCAGCTCGTCGTTGGTCAGTACGGCTCGCTGCCGCCGCCTCCGGCCAGTGGAGCCAGCTGTCAGACGAAACAGAGGGAGTCAACAACCACTTTATTGAGGAGACGTCTTAATCTTTAACTGAAACGTTTACATGAAAACATTTGTGCTTACTCGGCGTGTCTTCTCCCTCTGAGTCAGAGTCAAAGTACACTTCATCATACATCTGAGGGGTAGGAGGTACAGGACCTCCTCCTCCTCCTCCTCCTCCTCCTCCTCCTCCTGGGGTTTCTGCTGGAGAATAAACACACAAACATCAGGACTGCTTTCACAATACGGCCCATGGCGAACGGACAAAATATCCTCCTCCTCGCTTCCTTCTTTCCTTTCTTCTTCTCCTCCTCCTCCTCTTCTTCTGTTTCTAGTCTCTGATAATGTTTGATTGTAAACAACCAATCAGTGTTTAAACCAACAGGAGGAGAGCTAGTAACGTTAGCAGCACCGCTAACGGCTAACCAACGGTGGTTCACTTAAGTTACATTATGATACCTTCAGGCTCTGCTCAGTGAAAATGAGTACTGGCTGAAGGTAAATTATAACGTTGTCATGATGTGTTCACATGTAATCTGTAAAATGTAGTTTTAGTGACAAACTTGAATAAATCCAGTAGTTTGAAGGAGATGTTTTCATGTGAATATAAAATAGATATTAGATGAATTATGAAACTCTGGGTGTTTACCTGCTGCTGCTGCAGGTGTCCAGGTTCCCTCCAGAGTCTTGATGGTGGAGCTAAGCTCCGCCTCCATCTCCTTCTCAAACTCATCCCCACTGGACGACTCGCTCTCCCCCGTCAGGTACTCTCTGATCAGCTTCTTCTTCTGCTCCGGGGTCCCGTTCAGCAGAACCTCCAACTCGTCCTCCGAACTGAAACATAGCGAGAGGAGGTTCACATGTTGTGTATTTAGCTGCTCTTCTTCAGGAGACAAATATATAACAACAAAACTTAAAGCTGCATTCTCTCCTCTGGTCGTATAGAAGTCTATGAGAAAATGACTCTACTTCTCTCTTGATTTATTACCTCAGCAAACATTCTAAACATGAGTTTATGGTCTCAATCTCTAGTTTCAAGTCTTCTTCAATACAGCATGATGTTCATTTAGTACATTATGGTCCATTTAGAGTCAAACAGACCATAAAGCAGGGTTGCTTTAGGGGCGGGGCTTACTATGATTGGAATAAGAAACCGTCTTTACGGTTTAAGTCATTGTTCACCTCGTCAACCAAAGAACTTATTGGTCCACTAACACGAATATTTTAACTGATTTAAATGACAGATCTGAAAAATTTAGTTTCTCCAGAGTGAATATCACAAAATAACAACTTTAAATATTGTTTATTAAGTAAAGTTAAAATTTAAATGTAAACAAGACATTCAGCATTCAAAACGAAATAATCAGTTAGTGGACTAATCGAACACGAGACGTCAGTTCTAGTTCCAGCTTCACAGACGTGAAGATTTGCTGCTTTTCCTCTAAATCATTCAAATCAAAGTTAATTTACGTTAAATACTTCTACTGCATTTCCCTTATTATACACTTTTAGTAAAGCAACAAATGTAAATGCAGTACTTTTACAGATTATTTAGTATTATTACTGTTTTTACTCGAGTTCTGAATAATTCCTGGTTGTATAAATGTGAACACATCGAATGTGTTGTATTATTGTTGTGTTTACAAAGAACATTACAAAACCTCCACCATGTTTTAACAAACTTTGCATATATATTATTACTTATTATATATTTACATATATTTTTTACAACTTTAGCGATGGAAATAACCACCAACAGCAAACCGCCAGCCATCATTTTAACATATTTGTATGGTATTATATCACTAATTATTATTCTAATAAAAACGAGCTGTACAGACAAACAGTTCAGCCTGTTCCTGTTTGTTTACATGTTAGCATTCCGCTAGCTAGCCGCACAGTTAGCCTCATGGTGCTAAAGCTACGGTTAGCTTCAAAGCTAACCGTTTCAAGGACTCTTACCTGTCCTCGGCTCTCTCCTCGTCGCTCGGCTCCTCGATCTCATACGAGTCAAACTCCTGCGGTTTGTTCAGTTTGTTCATTTTAACTGTCGACAAAGTTCAAGTAGAACAACATCAGCTGCTAGCGAGTTAGCAGCAACGTACGAACGAGCACTTCCGGTTCTTCTTCTTCTATGGTTTAATTGAACGGAAGTGGTGTTTATGAAGACGAAACACGATCGCCATCTACTGTGTGTGGAGGATGGACAAGGCCAGTAAATAAAATAAAATAAAATAAAATGAAATAAAATGAAATAAAATGAAATGAAATGAAATAAAATTAAATTAAACGAAACGGAACAAAAAACAAAAGAAAGTAAAGTAAAATTCAAACAAATAGAATACAAACTGTGTTCAATAGATTTAAAAAAGTCTGCTGTTTAAATAAACAAAATAATCTGGCTTTGAGAATTTGCTGAATCAAAAGCTCCATTTCTGCATCTTTAAAAAACCCTGACGTGATGCAAACTGCTGCTGTTACAACAAACTACCACCAGGTGGAGCCAACAGATCAGAGATGTGCACTCCTCTCAGAGGTGATGGCAGCTAAAGATTCATCTGAAGACCTAGACATCCATGAGATGATGGAAGGAATGAAAATAAATCATTTAATGTACAATGTGAAACCATAAGTTTCCATCACCACCACAGATGTTAATTGAATACACGTTTACTCCATTTTCTGTTTTCCTAAATGACGTTTTCCTTCTTCAAGTCTTTCTTTCAGGACCTCATCATATATTTTCTGTCACATGTCACATTCTCAACATTTAAGGTCTTAAAATCTTCATAAAACTACAGAAACTGATCACACACCTGGAAGTCTTGAAATTGGTACAAAACGAAAGGTATTAAGACGTTTGAATCAATCTATTCTCCTGTTTATCACCAGCATTTAAAACAGTTTTCTATTATTTATATTATTAACATGTGAGAAAATTGAGAACCAAACACATGATCTCCTGGTGGAGATAATCTTCCACTCATCACTTTGTTTGTTTCAGTTTCTGTGTTTCAGTAAACGTGATCAGGATGAATATTTATGAATCAAACCGTATGTGCTGTGGATTTCCTTCCCTGTGCATCTATACGTTTACAGGAGTCAAATAGTTTGTTTTGTAAATTAGAATTAGAAAACAGTGTCACTGTATAATTAATCGGCTAAATATACTTTAGAAATAATTTAATTTAAGTTTCTGTTCATCTGAAGACGAGTTTGTTTCTCTTTACTCATTTTTATATCTAATTCTATTTCATGTGCAATATAATTTTCATTAATCTTTGTGCAATATAACTTTCTACGACTTTTAAAATATCATTGACAATATCTCTCTTCATATCATCTTAATATTACTTTTCTATTTTAGTTCCATTAGTCTCCGGTGTTTGTTCCACTTCTTTTACACTTTGTATTTTAATTATTATTCTTTGTTGTATTTTACTTTTTCTATTTTAGATGAATTATTTACCTTATTTATTTATTTACCTTACTCTTTTTGCTATTGCGTTCTGTTTATCATTATGTCTTTTACACTTAATGTTTATTCTATTGTTCATATGTGTTTATATTTTTATTCTAAAGTTCTATCGTTTTTGCAGCTTGTGGTCATTTTGTGTTTATAAGACGAGATAAGATAAAACTTTATTAATCATGAAGGAAAGAGTTTTATTGAAGACTAAAACAGAAGAATAACAAAAAACAATAGAATAAAAATATGAACATAAATGAACAATAGAATAACAATTATTAAGTGTAAAATAAATAATAATGACACCTGTGTAAAATAGAACATATAGCACTACGAGTAAAGTAAATAAATAAATAAGGTAAACAATTCAACTAAAATAGTAAAAAATAGAATAGAACAAAGAATAAATACAAAAGTAAAATACAGGTAACAAATAAAACAAAGTATAAGAAGTGATACTAACACCAGAGCCTCATGGAAACTAAAATATAAAAGTAATATGAAGATGGTATTGAGAGAGATATAGTCAATGATATTAAAATAGTTTTAGAAGTTGTATTGTACATTTATGAAAATCCATCAAGTAGCTAAACTCCTTTTTCAGAGAGAATAATTCTCCAGCATCCTCCATGAAAAACATCTGAAACACGCTGAAGGACTGAAGAACAGGACGAGGTTCAGTTCATCAGGTTCAGTCTCGTTGAGAGGACTCCTGATGTGTGCGTTCACACCTTAACGTGTTCCTCCTTGATCCAGATCAGATACTTACACACAGATCACATGTTTAACCACAATGAGGTCAGGGAAACAGATTTGTATGAAAACGCTGTGTGTGTGTATATATGTGTGTGTGTGTGTGTG